TTTAATGCTAACTTGAAATTTCTTTCCTATTTTTCTTATATATGCATGCGGTGAAACAATTTCAATGACAATTTTAATAAACTTGTATTTGAATTTAAAAGACACTCAAATTTTTAAGACATGTAAGATATCTAAGGAATCATTTAAATCAAAGTTGAATTTTTCTTACACATGAATTTAAATAACATGTGAATTTATCAAGTACATAAGCAGCTGGGTATCATTTAAATGGTACTTGCATTTTACTTTCATTTGAATTTAAATAGCACTTTAATTTTTATAATAGTTGGAAATAACAGATAAAAAAATATATATTTTTTCATTTTTATTTAAATGGAATCTGCATTTAACTAAAAGTTGAATTTAAATAACATTTGAATTCAAACGAAACTTGAATTAAATTGACACTTGAATTCAAACGTCACTTGAATTTAAACGAAACTTGAATTTAAACGAAACTTGAATTTAAACGACACTTGCATTTAAATGGTACTTGAATTTAAATGAAAGTTGAATTTAAATGACCCAAATGTCTATTTCTTTGACCTTCACAGCTGCCATCTATCGACAGGTAGTTGAAATAATTGATTTTACAGCGCCATCTATGGTTACAACAATGCATTCAAACAAAATGTCGGTATATGCGCCTGCTTGTATATATCTACATGTATATATCTACATGGTTTTTAAAAACCATGGTATAGTGTACGAATCCCCCACAGTTTTTCCCCTGGATTTAAATTTTATTTATTACTTAAGGATAAAGAGTTTTGTGCAGTTACTATATAAGCATTAAAGACTTAGATTAGGATCATGTATCATGGATTAAGATCATGTTTGATTCTTTTTTGATGTGACTGATCTTTTTGTTTTTGCAAAAAGATGCCGCTAATTTTCTCCCTAAACTGCAATTTGAAAATGTTACAACTACCTGTCGATAGATGGCAGCTGCTTAGGTCAAAGAAATAGACATCTGGGTCATTTAAATTCAAGTTGCATTTAAATTCAAGTACCATTTAAATGCAAGTGTCGTTTAAATTCAAGTGACGTTTTAATTCAAGTGTCGTTTGAATTCAAGTGTCAATTTAATTCAAGTGACGTTTGAATTCAAATGTCATTTAAATTCAACTTTTAGTTAAATGCAGATTCCATTTAAATAAAAATTAAAAAATATATATATTTTATATCTGTTAAATCCAACTATTGTAAAAATTAAAGTGCCATTTAAATTTAAATGAAAGTAAAATGCAAGTTTCATTCAAATGATACACAAGCTGCTTATCTACCAGATAAATTCAGATGTCATTTAAACTCATGTGTAAGAAAAATTCAACTATGTTTTAAATAATTCGCTAGATCTCTACATGTCTCGAAAATTCGAGTATCATTTAAATCTAAATACAAAAAAAATAATTTGTTGTTGAAATGTGAACTTTTCTTACTATTTTAAAAATTTAATGTAATTTTGACTGACCCAACATTCATTTAAATGTTATATAGGGGCCAATATTCATTTAGAATAAACTATGTTTGAAATACAACTGCATAAGTTTATTTTTTATTAAAATCATGTTTAACTTTATTTGTCGTTATAAATGCACTGGAGAGAATAATCCAACTATCATATAAATACAACCATAACTTTAAAACTATAAGTTAAATTCATTTGTTTGTTTCTATGTATCATTTAAATGGTTTCCAGCTCATATTAATCAGATGTAGGTCATTTTTATGACTTAAATTTACATTGGAGACTTCATAAGAGTAGGTATGATAAATTCAACTTTCGTCGAAATCCGTCTACTAATTCTTAAGTTTCATTTAAAAGACACTTGAGTCAACGAAATTCATTTTATTTCTATTATCGAATTTCTTTCTTTTTCATCTATCATTTAAATGACACATTGGTATAAATGTATAATAAATAGTAAAACGGCGTTCCATAAAATAGTATACACTACACGGGCAGAAAGTGTGAGGCGCGCAGTGCAGGAATCTCACACTTTCTGCCCTTGTAGTGTAATATACTATTTGTCATTAAATCCTTTTTATAACCTGGAAGAGTTTCTAATTATAAATTTTAAAGCATTTTTGTTTAATGTATATATGTTTATAATTTGTTAGTTTATAAACTCTTTGATTGTTTACTTACCTGTTTATATTTGTAATATTTTTTGTATTTATATTTTATCTACTATATACCAACCTGTACACCTGTTTATTTGACTTTTAATGTAATTTGTATTACTTTAATAAACCTCTATTATATTCTATTCTATTCTATTCTATTCTAAGTGACCTTTTAAATACACATTGACAAGTTGTGGCTTTATGGCGCTTTAGTCACGGGCTGAAGTTAGCAACAGGTTTTTAGTCACGGGCTAAAGTTAGCTTTAAGTTAGTTGACAGTTGTCAAATGTCATACAATCGTTAAAATAAAGTGTCTTTTTTGTAAAATAATACTAAATGTGAAAATTATTTTATTATCTCAATATAAAAATACAAAAGTATTAAATAGTTTCTCAACAACAATATTTGAAAAGTTTATATGAACATTGTACTGACCTTTTAATTTCGCCGGCAGTAAACTATAACTTAAATTCGGGCACGGACTCCACTGTAAAGTGCTCATAAACCATTTTCTTTACTTTCACTGTGAAAAACTGTCAATTTTCAAAGTAGTTATTTGTTTTTCAAGTGTTGAAAAGCGACTTATTCATGCGAGTGTTAAAGTTGCTCACGAGGCCGTCAGGCCGAGTGTGCATTAACACAAGCTTGAAGAAAGCTTTTCTCACAAGTGAAACACCATATTTTTTGTACGACCCTTTTATTTTTTAATATTTTCAAATACAAAACAAAATAACCTAAAAACGTGTAGGTATGACAGCTGTTAAAATTACTTTCATCTTAATCTTTTAATTTTTAAGGTATAAGTTACATAATAGTATATTAAAGAACTAATGGCATAAGACATTATTTTGTCGCACGCGGACAATTTATAAAACGAGCGACGAAGGAGCGAGTTTTATAATGGACAAGTGCGACAAAAGGTCTTTATGCTATTTTATCTATTTTACAAACATTTCATAAAACAAATTAATTTTATACCTTATATTTAATTTGGTCGAATTTTACTTTACATAGTTGGTATCTCAGTTTGAAGTTTAAAAGGTTATTAACCTTTCAAACATTATCACATTCTTTCGCTATGGCGTCGTTATTTTACAATAAGTATTTACAATAAGCGGCTGTTAAAGAAGAAAAAAGGATTTTCTTTGGTGTTAAACAAAATTTATTGCACGAAAAGTCTCGTAAGTACTAGAAAACAAATCATAAAAATATTATAACCTATAGGTATTTAAAATTGTATTTTACCAGTAGCCAACCTATAAAATCAAAATTTTGGGTGGAATAAAGTACCTCATTAAAGAACCAAAAGTGGTGTTATAATGAAGTCATTATGAAACCAAAATAGATAAAATCAATAAACTTACCCCATCAAATAAAATAAAGGCACTTAAAATTGGAATGTATTATACAAACACAATTTATTGTGTTCTAAATGATATTTAGACATACATATACAAATGCAATACAAATTTTAAAACGAATGTCAAACGATGCTGTCAATTTCTTTTCATACAGACCTGTCACTTTTCACAAAGAAATGTCACTTTACATTCGTGTTTTGCCTTGCCAATGAAAAGATTCATTTTCCAAGCAACGATGCCAATACGAAATGTGACTTTTACATAGTGGTCGTAGAAAAAAATACATTTCGATTTAGGTATAACCTTTATAATTGTGTTTATAAAATATAAAAATTTGACACACACAGATTCATAGATGGCGCTCTATACAAATTTTTGATTTAAATCATTTTAAAAAAAGTATAGTATGCACCGCGTTTATAAACTTTTCTATACACTCATTAAATTCGTGTATAAAATGGCGTTTATCAAACTTGATACATAATATACTAATTTGGTCCCACAATCAAATTGGCTCCTCATTTATGAGTCAATCTGTGCTGTCAGAGATAGACTGTGAAAATTCCAATTTGAAGTTGATAAGTACAAAATTGAATTTGTTTGTTTTCAATTTGACTTTGTTTATTTCCATTTTGAACGTGTTAGTTACCAGTTCAAAGTTGATTAATTTTTACATCCCAAATTGAAATTGATTAGTTCCAATTTGAAGTTGAAGCGGTATAGTTATTATTTTTAAGTTGTTCAGTTTTCAGTGTCAGTTTAAGATAATAAAATAAATAATATGCTGGAAAGAGATGTGGATAGAAAGTAAAGAGTAGTAAAATGTTGCTTAAATTTTGGCCACTATACCTCCGCGTTATAGTAACGTACATATAATCATGTCTGTATACAATCCAAGAACGTTGTTGGAACGTAACTGACACTAAAAAAGTGTTCCGCATTTTAGTCACTTCCACGTAATAGAACCGTTTTTACCACGTATCGAATATTTTGGCAATACACTTTACAGTTTTCAGTATAAGTGGCCAATACGTTTCATCCACTAAAACTGCCACTTTGGATAATATACGAGGTGTGACAATTAAGTAATGAGACTGATTCCATAAAAACCGTATATTTAAAAATTATTCTATAACTTTGCCATCCCCTTCAAAGTAGTCCCCTTGGGCAGCTATACAACGATTCCAGCGCGTAACAGCTTCGTAACATTTCTGGAACGCTTCGACTGGGATGTCCGCGAGTACCCTCGTCACGGACGTCGTATGAACAATAGCTGTTCATTGTTACACTAGTTAAACAATATTTTCATTATTCAAGTAGTGTAACAATAGCATACTTTTTTCATTGTTTTCAAGCGTATAATTCTCAATTGAGTGTGGTACAAAATATTTTACCATGATTTTAAAGTTAAAAAATTAAATAAAACAGCTTTAGATGTATTCATTTTATTGTAAATTTTACAAAAAAATTGTTCTTACGGTTTGTATTTAATGTTCCCTATTTTTATAGTGTCATCAAATCACTTAAGCGAAATACAAGTCCTCGAGGAACTCTTACAAGGCGATTTGTACGGAACCACGAGCTTAGAAACTACGGAATCGTGGAGCATATCGAACGATTCCGACAGCGAAGAGTTCCTAAACCCACCCACGCCTCCAACCAGGTTCGATTCCCTCCCCGAAGAGGAGGAAGAACGTACGAATGAAGCACCTCAGAAAGAGGCTACGCCGCAAACCAACCACACCTCGGTAACCAAATGGTTCGACGAAGGAGCGGAACGCGAAGAAAGTGCTGCCAACAATAAACCGAAAAGAAACCGGAGTTTCAGAATGTCGTCGTTTTTCGAAAAGGCGCCTTCGTTATTGAAAAACATAAGACTTACGAAAGATAATGAGGTTGATAGGCCGGAGATATTGGTGAATAGAATGATAGGAAGAAAAGGGAGGCTATTTAAAGTGATTAGTAATCCGGTAGAAGGTCTTTTTAGCGAGTACAATTGCAGATGGTGCGTACTTGAGAGTTCCAATTTGATTTGTTACTCGGATTCGGCCTATTCAAGCGTTAAGGAAAGTTTCAAAGGGTCCTCGATTTTAAGTATTCAGTTGTTACAAGATGCCAAGTATAAGTATAGGTAGGTAATTTTTGGTTTTCGTTTTTCTTATAATAACTTTTGACCGCCATTTTCTTACGAACTATGTTTTATATTTTGGGCTCCAGAATCAGCCCTTAAAATTTTTGCATGGAATTCAGAGACAACCTTTATACAGAGTATCATGTAATAAGTTGTCATCCCTTGGGGGAATAATAGTTCACGCCAAAGTAAGCAAGTTTTTGCATTAGTGATACTGTTTTTGAATAAAAAAATCTTGAAAATTGACTTAATTTTTAGGAATTTGTTTGGCACGACACTGGATTCGTTAAAACCATGTTTAACGTTTAAGCGGTTGGGGTCGACGGACTAAGTAGAGTCGGCCAGTAGTTTAACTGTGGTCTTATCGGTACTGCTGTCGATGATTTTAGCGGGCCAACTTTACTTCGAAAGTCGACAGCTGTTGCTCAAGGAATGACAACTTATTACATGACACACTGTATATTTAAAAGGGAAATTTGCTGTTGTTATCTATAGTTTATATCTACATTTTATAATAATAATATTCTATTCTTTTACATTATAATTATACATATAATATACAGAGTGTTTCACAACTTATCACTTTCAAATAAGAAGTCGATTTAAAATTATAATAATAAAACCACAAAAAACTTCAAATTTTCATCTTCAGTAGGAAAGATAAACATTTTTAAAAATAATTAAATTGTAAATTTTAAACTTTATCGCATTTTCTGTTGTAGGTACTTTTATATTAAAGTTTTTTTTAAATAAATTTATTTATAGATTGATAAAATAAATAAAACAAAACGTAGTATTTATTTTATCAATCTATAAATTAATTTATTTAAAAAAATACTTAAATTCAAAAGTTCAACCGAAAATGCCATAAAACTTGTTAAAGTTAATGTTTATCTTTCCTACTAAATTACTAAATATAACTCGTGGTATGATTAATAATCAAAGATATTTACTCATTGAAACCGAAGCAGCATATTTCACTTGTCCTGCGGACTCGGTTTCAATTTGAAAATATCATCGATGATAATCATACCACTTGTTATATTATGGGTGAAAGTTTAAGTCCATAATATTAATATTAAGAGGTCTATCATCGCAATTTTAATTTTTTTTTCCTCAGCAAGTTTTTGTCTCAGAACTCCCAAACCATTGAGTTTAACAAAATTAACTCGAAAATATTTTTTTAAGAAAATTAAATGCTCTACAAAAAGGTTATAGTGAAATTTTCCGTCAGATGAACCGTTTCCTTAAAATCTTAAAAATTGGTATAGTTTTACATTTTGATCTTTTAAATTGGAAATACATGTAAAAAAAGTACCCATAAAAAACCGATAAATTTTCTTATGGGAAATCAAATGCCTAAATTCAAGTTATTCAAGGTTAACATTTTGTTTTGACTTCAAATTTAACCTTGAATAACTTTTTTGATGGAGTGAATTTAGCCAAAAAAGACTTTTTTTGTAGAGCATTTGATTTCCCATAAGAATATTTATCGTTTTTTTTTTCGGGTACTGATTTTTACATGAATTACAAAATTCCAAAGTTAAATTGTAAAACTATACCAATTTTTAAGGCATGATTGTAAGAAAACGGTTCATCTGACGGGAAATTCCAATTAACCTTTTTTGTAGAGCATTCAATTTTCTTCAAAAAATATTCTTAAATCAATTTTGTTGAACTCAATGGTTTGGGAGTTCTGAGACAAAAACTCGCTCAGGAAAAAAAAATCTAAAATTGCGATGATAGACCTCTTAATATTAATATTATGGACTCAAACTTTCACCATAATTTTTTTTGTCACCCCAAACAATATTTTCGATATACTTTACAAAAAAAAATAGTCGATTTTTTTGGCCCAGTCTAATATACATATACATAGTTGAATATACATATACATATATTGAAAACATATACATAAAGTTGAATTACAAGCCTATTAAAATGAAATTTATAAATTCGAAGAAAAGCCCAGTGGTTCTTAAAATATTAATAAAAAACTAAAAATATTTTAAAACCAAAAATCGGTATTATTTGTTATTCCTGGGAATTTTGAAACAATGTAAGTTTTACATGTAAACATACACATTAATCTACATTTTTTTCCAATTTCAGTTACCATAGTTTGTTTTTATAATGGCCGCCATTATATTGGATTCCTTGATTTTTTTTTCATCTAACCATGTACAATTCCAATATGGCGGCCATTGGTATCCCAAAATCTAGTGGGCAAAAAAAATCACAAATTAAATAAAAATGTGGATAAATGTGTATGTCTACATGTAAAACTACTTTTTTAGAAACTTCCAGGAATAACGAAGTTATAATGATTTTTTTGTTTTAAAAGGTGTTTAGTTTTTTTCAAATTATTTGAGAACTGATTTTTAAATTTTAATAGACCTGTAATTACGCAACTTTTGTCTAATTTAACCGACCTTGTAGCTCTTCAAATAAAAAAGATACCAATACATGTACTATATTGTAATTATAATTATATTACCAGCATTTATGTTATTATATATTTTTTTCTCTAGGGTGTTAAGGATAGAATACGGCACTAGTCTGACAGACTGTCTTTGCATTCTTTAAAGAAATTTAAATATGCTAAATAATAAAGTATATTATTAATTAATATTATTAAAAAAAAGGTCGAATAACATTTATTGTCTATTTTTTAAGGCATAACGGCGATGCGTTGCACTGTTTCGAATTGAACGTGACCGGAAAAGCCAGGGGGGGACACGTGTACGGGGCCAAAGAAAGCAGCGAAACGCGCGTTTGGCTGCAGGCCCTTGCAGAAAGTTTGACCACCAGATTTCCCACCATTATTACTAGCAGTTTTACCAGATTCGGATGGGCATATGTTAGAGAGGGTAAGAGAAAAAAAAATAGGATAGTAACAATTTAATCCATTTTTGTAAATTTTTGGTTTGATTAATTAGCGATTCAGCAGATATTCTGAAACTTTAGAATAGAATTTATATAAACCACCTTGGGTGTGACACCCCTCTAAAATCTCTCAAAAATTAAAAAGCAAGAAAGAATCGGCAAAATTATAAAAATAAAATGCAATCTATTTTTTATATCTCCTGGTATTCAAATAAAACAAATGGTACCTACATGGCAAAGTATGTATTTACCCAAAATTCGATTGATTTTTAATTATTTTATACAACAATTTTTAAGAACTGAAAAAAAATTCTGAAAAACACATTATTTTAATAAAAATCTTGTTTTAGCTTTAAGCGGTAGTTGGATAGGTGCTTGGGTGGTTTTAAGAAAGCGCGAATTATCTTACATAACAGATAAAATGAATTCTCCCAAAACAATTGATCTCAGAAAGGCCAGATGCATAGTGTTGCAACCCTACCAAGAAAACGACAAAAATCCGTCAACCAATGACAAAGGCCCAAATATGCTTATCGACTGCCCTCATATGGTTTTGTATCTAAGGATGTGGACACAAAGGGAAACAAAGGTAAATATGACCCTTTTTGTTCTTTATTTAACTGTGTTACTAATAAAAGTGTGAGTCATTTTAACAAACAACGGGGTTTTCCTATTAAGTATTTTAAAATTCATACAAAAAATTATTAAAATATTACGTTGAAATTATATTGAATGTTGACATTGTTTACTGTTTATTTTTTTCTACATTTTATTACATTTATTACATTATTACAAAATTATTTATAGTGTATTGCTTTATAGATTTATGTGATTGATTAAAAAAGGTTACCTTGAAATGAATGGTGTTATTCAACATGGAAACCAAGTTGGATTAACCAACCCTCACTTTTGCCAAACAGATAATAGCGTCCGAAAATTTATGTGGTTCTGTGATGGCTAAATAAAAGTTTCATTATAAAACCCTTGATTATTGCTTATTCTTTATAGCAACCATGCAGCTTAGATCTTTGTTGAGATTTAATGTGTGTGCAGAATTCTGTATTATTTTAAATATTTTAATTTTGTAACTTTTAGCATTTTTATAGCTAAATATTTTTAAAAGGTGGCCCTACATGCCCCTATTACATTAATACATTTATCTTTTTTTTAATTTTAAGGGTTGTTTCCTGTTGCATAACACCATTTAATTATTCTTTGTTTTTATAAAAAAATATTGATTTATTCTGAAATGAAAAATAAATTCTACTTCTACCTAATAATACATTGTTATCAAAGTAAAGTCAAAACATATTTTTAATGAATGGCAAGTTTTGTATAAATAATATTAAATATACATACATAGTTATTATCAGTTATTATACAGTGTATTTTTAAAATATAGAATTGTGGAAAAACATTATCCAAAAATATCTAAAAAATTAGAATTTTGTACCATTATTATGGTAATTATTTACTTATGAATCATACTGTTTCTAAATATAAGGTTTTAAACATATTTAAACTATTATTAAGACAACAAAAATAAAACTTATTTTATTAAGAGAATACTGCCTAGGTAGGTACTATTAAATTTAATAAAACTGGTTACTTTAATAGGGAATGCAACATTTGGGAAAGTTTTTGTTGAATAATTTTTAGTAAACACTTTATATCAAAAAGGAAGCAAAATTTGAACATAGTTTAGAACTAGTTTATTTGACAAACTACCTTTATTTTTTGTATTACTATCGACTGGTGAAATTCCGATTTTATAAACTGTAATTTTAGTCTTAAAATCGTAATTTCGGTGAAATTCTGATATTTTGGGTAACACGTAACACATACTGAAGTGGTCCCTTGATTTTTCACAACCTCGAGAAAATCATTATTGTTTGTTAAAATGAGTAGCCCTTATGTATCCTAAGAGGGTCCACGGAGTGATTTTTAAAATTTTGAGCTAGGGCTTCTTATTATAACGAACAATAATGATTTTCGCGAGATTGTGAAAAATTAAGGGACCCCTTGGCGAATTTCCAGTCACGTTCAACTGTTAATTTTGAAGTTAACGACGGTTAAGTTAACCATTAGATTAAAAACCTGCATAATATTTTTCGAACTATCTAAACATTTTTGGAAGTTTGGTCAACCGTTTCAGTTAACTGCAATTGCAGCGGCCCTTCAAATCGTTCTCCGCGATCGTTATAAATATGGTGATGATGGCTTCAGGAATAGGAATTTAATTTGTTAAACAATACATAAAACAATTATATTAATTATTAAAAGTAGAAAGTGAGGTTAGATTAGATATGACAGTAGTTAAATTTTTTCATTGGTCCAAATGGGTTTTTGTACAAACTAGGAGGTAAAACCTTTACCCAATTGATCTAAATTATTTTTTCTTCATACCTTGTTCGATAGTACTTACTTTCGTCCCTAATAGCAGGGACGAAAGTTTAACATTTACTCCCTGTGCTATTAGGGACGAAAGTACGTACTTTCGACCGAGGTAAACTTTCGTCCCTGCTATTAGGAACGAAAGTAAGTACTTTATACCGATGTATAAAAAAAAATTAGTATACACCACACGGGCCAAGGTGTATGTATCTTGGGGCCAAACGTTGAAATCTCGGTCCTGCGCGTCATGATGCCCTCGGCTTCGCTTCGGGCATCATGACGCGCAGGGCCGAAAACTCAACGGTAGGGGGAATACGGAAATTTTAAATTTTACCCTTTAGACAACCAGGAATAACATATCCAAAATCCAGCGAGTTCGGAATTTTTTCGTTGTATTCATTTATTTGTTGAAAATCTTTGTGTTTCCTCAGGAAGTCCGAAAACGCATTTTTTCCTATTTGTTTATATAATTTATGTAAAAGAGCATTGTAGTTTTGTTCAATTTTTTTTTTCAGTAAAATATAATAACTAATATAATGATTTTTGTATTACTTTACTTTTACAGAAATGACGCTTTTTTATCTGTATATAGGACCATTATTCAATTAACAAAGCATTGTCTGTTTTATGCAATTTAGCTTTAGTATTTATTTGTATTACTAGACATATTGATACACAATATTGATAATTTTATTAATTTATAATTTTTGTTGATTAACCTAGGTTTGGTGCCATATAATTAAGCTAGCGGCCAGTAATAATGGAGCTGACTTGGAAGAACAACAATTATCGAAAAATAATATACCTGTTATAGTAGAAACATGTATCAATTTTATATACTTACATGGTAAATATTATAAACTTTCCATTATAAAATCTATTACACTAAACTAATGTAATTTTAGGGAGCATGACTGAAGGAATTTATAGAAAACCCGGTGTAAATTCGTCTATATCGGAAATACTGGATAGTTTTAGAAAAAACGCTTTTACAACCCACTTAAAATTAGACAAATACAGTGAACACGATGTGGCCACAGCTTTAAAACGATTTTTCAGAGATCTTCCTAAACCCTTAATTAGTTCAAATAAAAGGCAATATTTATACGAAGTCTCAAGTAAGTATTTTAATTTTAGTATACGTGTTTATAATTTACAAATAATTTTTTTTAGAAATTCACAATAAGGAAGAAAAAATAAGAATGTTTAAAGCGGCACTTGAAGACCTGCCTGTAATTTACAGCAATGTAGTTAGGAAATTGTTGGGGCATTTGCATTTTATTAGTACCCAGAGTGATAAAAACTTAATGAACATTCACAATCTGGCTTCATGTTGGGGCCCTACATTATTACACACAGAGGTAAGTTTAAAATTCACGAATTCACTCTACAGGGTGCACCAAGTTTGTCTTTCAATATGATAGTTGAAAATATTTTAAATTTATAAATGTAAAACTAAAATTTTTAGTTGGGAAAATTTTAAAACAATTAAATTTTAAATAAAAAAATTATTTAATAAATGTTAAACTGGCGGCCCATACTAACCCCTGAAATTTTTAGCATAAGAAAGATACCCCTAAAAACCAAAACCAGGTAGACGCCGAAATCGTCAGTCAGTTGATTGAATATTACCACTACATTTTCCCAGAGGATCAAATACAACTGGAGAAAGAAAAAGTGATACTTAAAGTATTAGAAAAATACCATACTTCACCTCAGCTCATGTTTGACAAGAAGAATGCTGGAGACTTGAGGATATGGATTTATCTTCTCAGCAAAGAGGGAACATCCGTTAATATATCGGTATTTGCTTTTTTTAATTTGTAAATATTTTTCTAAACATTGTTTTATGCAGGTTGGTCCCAATAAAACTGCATTTGATGTTACACTGGAACTTTGTGGAAGAGTTAAGATGAATGCTGATGAACTAATTGTTAAAGAAGTTGTTTTGGACGGGAAATTGCATAGGCCTGTACATCACACTGAAAAAGTGAGTAAAAAACAGCTCAAGGGATTTTTCCTTTCCCAAAGATAAAAGCAAGTTATTGATAATGGGTTTATTTTTGCTTTGTTATCTTCAGTATTATTTCTACAATGTAGAATCTACATACATTATTTTTAAGTATACTTTGTAATTTTATTAACTATTTTGGCCTTAAAAGTATGGGAAAAGTTGTACCACATATTAACCATGCAAAAATCACAATCACAATTCTACGCGCGCTATTTCTTCATAAATCTGAACACAGAGCCTTTAGCTTATTTAAAAGCTATCCTTGAATCATTTATATAATATTTTCTTATTGTTTATAGTTTATTTCGGTTTATTTTAATATTAGTTTCTTTAATTTCTATTACTCACTTTTTTACCTTTTTTTATTTCGTTTTTTTCTTCAGATTTTTTTTCTTAATTCATTTATATCATTAATATAATTCTTCTTATTGTTTATAGTTTATTTCGGTTTATTTTAATATTAGTTTCTTTAATTTCTATTACTCCCTTTTTTACCTTTTTTTATTTCGTTTTTTTCTTCAGATTTTTTTTCTTAATTCATTTATATCATTAATATAATTCTTCTTAAAAATCAATAATATTGATTCTTTTTATGGAATAATTTATTCTTATACAATGCAACAACTTGTTGTGAAATAAAAAACTAATGTACTAAAAATTTCGACGACTCAACTTGACAACTGCACAATGTAACCTACAATAATTTATACACGTTTATACATAACCACAATTAGATTTATAACTAGCTTAGTTTGTTTTAATCAATGCGTATTTACCGACCAAAACCCTAAATTTGCAACGTTGCCACAGTCCAGATAAAAAAAAATGAACTGTAGTCGCATCTTGAACATTGTGACTTTACGTTCACGTTAAAGATCAGATAAGAAATGCAGCTTACTAAGTCTTTGTAATTATGTGTACTATTCTACCGTGCTAAGCCAAACCCCCGTATGTGCAATATTAAGTATTAAAGGACCGAAGATCATTTTAATTTTTAGAAACAATAAAATAGTAGTTTATACGAGAGATAATGCACATAATCTCTCAAAAATAAATAAAGAAAATCTGACATCTGTCAAATGATTAACCTTGCTTTTTACCAAATTAAAATATTATTATAGTCGCCTTCTTCCAATTTACAACGCGATTGGTTCAAATCAAAGTGAATATTGAAATCGGCCAATCACTGATGCCTAACAACGTGAATAATGAGTTCATTATTTCCGTTGGTAGGCAGAAAATTTATAATTTATATTATTATATGTGTATACATGCGAAAAAAAACAATATTATGCAATAGGAGATTAATGTATGTACAATTTTAAGTAATAAAGGACAATAGTACATTATCTAAAAGGCAGAGAAGGCGATTATTTAAAGCCGAGCTCAGTGTTCGCTGCCAAGGCCTTAGCCAAGGCTTCAGATCTAAGAAAAGCAGTTAATATGCTTTTTCCGCCGTGTTGTATAGACTATTTTTTTCAAGCGTTTAATAATTCTGTGCTTACATTAAAATTATCAAGTTTGCGACATGGTGTATAATAATTTGACTTTTAAAGTCTTTCTATATTATATACGCCTATAATGGGCTTATGAGTGTTATAATATGAAAATTGTTATACACTTGAAAAACAAAATTTAATTGTTAGAAACAATAAAAAGGATCTTTTGTCTTTTATTACTTTATATTGCAGATACGAGGGGTTTAGCTTAGTAGGGCAGTAATGCCCTCTGTATCAAACGAGACATTACTGAATTAAAAGTTCAGACCTCATTTTTACCGACTTTTTTCTAGCTTTTTCAGGTCAATACAAAAATACAAAAGCATTAAATAGTTTCTCAACGAGAATATTTGAAAAATTTATATGAACATTGTACCGACCTTTTAATTTCGCCGGCACTAAACTATAACTTAAATTCGGGCACGGACTCCGCTGTAAAGTCCTCATAAAACATTTTCTTTACTTTCATTGTGAAAAACTGTCAATTTTCAAGAAATACATTTCGATTTAAAGCCTTTATAATCTGTGTTTATAAAATATAAATTGTGACATTTGACCAGGGTGCACACCCTGCATTTTACGGTGACACACAGATTCCCCTATTGTTTCATAGATGGCACTCTGTACAAATTTTTGATTTAAATCATTTTAAGATAATAATAAGTATTTTTCGTAGAAAAAGTATAGTATGCACCTTGTTTAAAAACTTTTCTATATATATATAAAATAGCGTTTATCAAACTTGATACATAATATACTATTTTTAACTACGGTATTGCGTTCAAAAAATATTCGGGGTCAAAAAGCGATAAAACGCTTTTTTGGGTACTTGGCCGCCACCTACTTTTTGGAATTTTCGCTCTAGAGCATCGACCCAATAAAAAAAATTTCTAGAAGACAATGCCCCCTACATTTTCTGTTTACAAAATACAAAAAAACAAAAAATTAGTTTTCACCTTAATCCACACGGGTAAGAAGTTCTTCTTCTTCTTAATTCTGATCACAATTCTGTGTTAAGAGAAATGACCTTTAGCTTAATTTAAAAGCTATTTGGCGAGCACATTATATTTTTCGGTTTCCACCAAGATCAAGGGACTCAATTAAGAGTATCTGAGTTGTCTCATCCCTTGGTCTAATTGTTATTTTAAGGGTAGGAAGTTCCTACTAGGAACCCGCTAAGTTCAGGTTAAGCTTTTTTATACAGGATGTTTTTTATACCCCGTAAAAAGAACTCTTTAATATTACTAGGGAAAAGTCTTTTTTCAGTATTAAAACTTATCTAATATATATGTATTTTATCATTACAATAATTTTTAGTTATTGAATGTGGTATTAAGATGGGGCTATTGGGATGAACCAGACAGAAAAGAAAATCACTTAGTACTTGCGAGGTTGTCGGATTACGGCGACTATTTCAGAGAAACGAAACCGGAAATGCCTGGTGGCGATTTAAAGTTTGCCGACTTCAGAACGAAACTATTACGAACATTAATGTTTAATTTTTCGTCTGCTACATTAAGGTGTTACAAGGAACAAAACGTAAGTAACTTTTATAATTAATATTTAGTCACTTATACAAATTATTGTTATAGACTGACATAGTGTTATATTCGTGGAAAATCGAAGAGATTACTTGGTACTTTGGCCACGAAACGAAGAGAAATCCGGGTTCCAAATGGACTGTTACATTCTTTGAAAATTCGTTTACACCCAACCGTACAAAAAGCCATCCGTTCTTCGGAAATATTTTGGTTTGGCCAGATTCTGAAACCAGGATCAAATGGCTACATGCAATGCTTAAGTCACAATATCCCAACAATTTGAAACCTCCTGTGACTATTGTTAATATTTAATTTTTATTAATCAAAGATAACGGTATTTTAAATTAGTGATTTGGCTACGAAATTGTGATTTATAGTTACCATTTTAAAAAGACAAAAGACTTCAGTTATTAACACTATACAATTTATTCTTATTTAATGATGCACAATAATATATAACTATTTAAAATGATTTTAGAACATTCACGTTCTTTTTTAACTTATATTGCTCTATGATTTATCTTTTATATATGAAATTTTGTTGAATTATTGTTATTATTACTATACAAATTAAAAAAATAGGCATTTGATTTTAAACCTTTGTAATTGTAATGGATTTTTAAATTTTTTAAAGTTGAAATATAGCTATTTACTATAGGTGCAACATTTAATAAATCTATTCAGTATTCATACTTGCCATATACTTGAGATTAAGCACAGATTTTCCTATGGCACATTTAAATAATTAATTTTATGTTTACACTAAAATTATATATTTTATTATGTACAGGGTGATCCCCTATACTGTCGCCCCCCTTTAACTTTTTTATTTTAAGTGTCCCAAAAAATTTAAAAGTGTGGTTATGTAGGTACTAAAAAATACTTTTTTTCTACGTATTAAAAAAAATGAAAAATTGATCAATATACAGGGAAAAAAAAAAGTTAATTTTTTTTCAATGGATCACCCTATATATGAATTTATTTTTCGATTCCTTGTAAAATTCTGAGCATAATTCATATAACAAACCATATCCTAAATTCAACTGTTTCTGAAATATTCGCATTTGAAATGTTAAACTGTTAGAAATCAAGAAGCCTCAGTATACCAAAAATTTTATTGAAAATAAATTATTATAGTGACATTATGTCAATATGTCTTGTTAAATAAGTAAAAATGGCGTACTCAGACAGAGAAAGACAAACTATTTCAACTTTACCCATAATATAACAAGTGGTATGAATATCATCGATAATTAATCATACCACGAGTTATATTTAGTGAGAAAATATAATGAATTTTAGGATTTAACGAATTGTCAGTTTGACATTTGAAATTAAAATGTGCTTTAAAATATAAAAAGACTTAAATAAACCTTATTTATTTAAACTTACCTTAATTTTATTATCGTTTACACCAACCCATCGATCTTTTAAAGTTTATAATTCATTATTTTAATCATTTAACAAACACAACAAATGTCAAATCAAAAAAAGTGTCAACGTGCAACGTGTAAACAAGGTGATAAAAAATATTGTCGCTCTGATAAAATGCGTAACTATGGAATACTGACATTTTATTGGTTCTAATTATAATGATGTATTGTCTTAAAAATAATTTAAATATTTCAGAAACGGTTGAATTTAGGTATATGGTATGTTATATGTAATATGCTTAGAATTTTACAAGGAATCGAAAAATAAATACATATATAGGGTGAACCATTGAAAAAAAATAAACTTTTTGTTTTCCCTGTATACTAATCAATTTTCCAATTTTCTTTATACGTAGAAAAAAAGTATTTTTTAGTACCTACATAACTACACTTTGAAATATTTTCGGATACTTAAAATAAAAAAGTTAAAGGGGGGCGACATTATAGGGGATCACCCTGTACCTATTTTAACAAACTTATATATATATAACTATAATATAGTGTTATCAATTTTTTTATAACTAAACAATTTTAAGATAGATACCTACATTTATATATTATTAAAATTTAATATAATTTTAAAAAATATTTTTTTAATGGTATAACCTTTTGTTTTTGATCTAGATTTATTTTACACTTAGAAGCTGCAATAATAAATAGATTGGATACAAATTTATATTTTTTTGGATTTATTTAGTTACAGAACTTTTACATTTATTTATTTATAATTATTTATTTATGCAACAATATTAATTAAATTTAAAAATCGGTAAGGTGTCGTTCGTAATACGTCAAATACTATGGGGATTCATACAATATGAAGAGGGGGGTTTTGCCCTTTTACTGGATATATATATATATATATATATATATATATATATTACGGTGTTCAAAAAAAAACAATTATTTTTTTTTTCTAATGGTGTTGAAAAATTAATAGTACATTAAAAAACAAAAATGTTGGCGCCTATTTGAGCCCTTAATATTAATATTAAGGTTTGCCTCAATTCATTTGTTGTTTTTCCATTTCAATAACACAGGAATTTTTATTTTTTTAATTTTGAATTCTTATAACTTTGGAATGGTTTGTTTTTGCAACACCCAAGCGAGAGGAGTTATAAACAATTTCACGCTCTACAAAAAACATCTGAAGTTCAAAGTTCTTCAGATCCACCGTTTCAAAGATATCAAATTATAATTATATAAAATTAACTATCAAATTAAATTTTTGTTTTCCTCTATTAAGTAGAAGGTTTTAATTTATCAAGTACAATACATTTTGTCATCAAATTAGATATTCTAAATGCTCCCCTTGGACATTTTGACACAAAAATAGTCTATTTCTAATTTTAGTTCTCACATTTGCAAACGTTTCTTATGAAATATTCGCACATTCACGTCTAATCCGTTGTTTTAGACCATCAATTAATTTCAGTTCGGTTTTAAATAACCCCCTACAAAAAAAATCAAGTGGCGTTAAATCAGGAGACGGAGCCGGCCATTCAGTAGGAACACGCCTACTAATCGACCTATTTGAATAAGTCTCATCAAACCACTGTCTAACATCTCTAAAATAATGTGCGGGTGGTCCATCTTGTTGGAATATTACTTCCATGTCAAATGCGTCAGGATTACTATATCTTGAAGGATTGGATAAATTTGTGTTTGAAGCAATGCCTGTTAAATTTCCTTCCAAAAAGATCTACAGTGCCAATTAGAAAAAAAGTTTATTCATCACTAAAACAAATTCGTTGCGAGGACAGGGGATTTTGGATTATGCTCACACATAACTTCACCAACTTTTCCTCTGCGATCCGGGTCATCTTCTGTAAGTTGATGTAATATTTTTAATTTATAGGGATGAAATTTGTTGTCTTAAATATTTTTAACAGTTGATTTTGCCATATCACAATCTCCTGCAACTGCCGCCGTCGATTTTTGTGGATTTTTGACGTCTTTTGATATTGATTTAGCTGCCCTATAGGGCGGCAAGAAAATGTATTAGTTTAAAAAACTCAAATGCTCAATTACTTGGCAATCGTTAAACCGATTTTAAAAATTTAACATCAAATAGAGAGTCGAAATACATTTTAAATAAAGTATCACAAGCCCCCTTTCCATTTAAATTTTTAAAATTGATACGTAGGCAGTACTGCCTTCTTGGCACTCCTTAAATACTTAATATCCTTGAAAATGGTTTTCGTCCGATGTCGATACCTTTTTTCGTCCAGAAGATAACAGGGGGGACTTTTAAATTGCGCACTGTATATTAATATGATTCAAAAAATCTACTATTCTTTTATTGACTTATATAAAAAAATTGATTGCTGGGCACCTCAAAAGAAGCCTATCGATGAGCTCTTAATATTAAGAGTAAGATCCTCATTGCAATTTTCCATTTTCACATTAGTCAAATGAAAAACATTTTGCATCTCACTAATAAGAATGTAAAGCTAAGCCCAATAAATATTTTAATAGGAAATTAAATGCTGTACAAAAAGGTCTCCTATGTTTTTTTCGTAAGCCTTTCCATTAAAAAGATATCCTAGGTCAAGATTTTAAGTTTTTGAAAATAATTTAACTCTTAATAGTAAGAGCTCATACGTATATAGGCTTCTTTAGAGGTGGCCTGTAACCAATTTTTCGATATCATAAGTCAAAAGAATAGCAGATTTTTGGAATATCCCTAATATATATAACTTTATAAAGTTTCCGCGAAAATATTTTGGTATCCAAGGGCGAGGAGGGAATAATAGGTAAGGGGGATCTAATATTGCAATATCCATAAATGGAAAATAGAGGAAAATAATACAACTTTTTAATAATTAAAATATAATAACTAAAACTATATAAAATATTTAATGAAGTACTAAAGTATTAAAAGGTAAATGTAATGGAATGTATAATTAATAATGAAGTGCATAGGTAAGTACAAATATAAGTATATACCGTACTAATGTACATATTTACAAATTTATTTAATATTATTTGGTAGTTTGGCGCTTTTATTGTATACAAATTAATAACATAATTAATTGTTTTTTTTACTTTATCACACCATTACAGTAATAGTACTACTACAATAAAACTTAAAAATTAAAACATTTGTATAAATTTATTGTCTTTAACCCTACGTTTTCAATTTTTTGTCTAAAAATTTTAAAAAAATCCGCTTTCTACATTACCCACCCCATTTTAAATAACTTTAAACCGATTAAAAGAACTGTAATGATTTGATATTAATTGTGCAAAAAATCTTTGGTAATACCATAATGATATATCCTAATGGCACTAATTAACATTAATACTGAAACAGTTTAATTGGAAGAAATACTAGTTATAATATAATATACATATTTGTGACATGATAAATAATTGGGTCTTTAAAATATCACGTTAGTTATGTTAATATAAAGCGGAATTATTGATAAACAATTCTTGCTTTATATTTTTTACCCGGATCAATGTATATTGACTATAAATAATATTTTGTTTTTAGCCTTGTAAACTCTTAAAAGTAATAATGGAGTCATCTTGAAGAAGCGGTTTTTTATCATCCTTCTTTTTGCCCCCGCCCTTTTTCATCCCTCTGTTAACCACCCCCTCGTATTCGTCCATCATCCGGATAATTTGTATCTGGTCGGATAGGTGATCGATCGGAGCGACCGAAATATCTCGGACGGCTCTGAATTTACCGCAATTGTTTAGATGTTCGTTTTCCAATCGGAAGAAGTTCCAGACGAATCGACGGAACACCTCCAGCGGCGTCAATACTGATGTCATCAAGTCGCTGGACACGTGCTTGGTTTCCGTCAGGTAGCACGATATGCTCCACGCGAAACGGATCACAAAGTCTTCCACGATTGCGAAGTAGTAGAAGAACTGACAAAAAGTATGATTTATTCAAAATATGCAGTTTTTAAGATAATACACTCACAGGCAAAATAATCGATCCACACAAATTTTCGATGAATTTCAATCGCAAATAACTTTTTTATTTGATGTCGGATTTAAACAAATATTAAAGAATATTGTAGATACATTAATGGAGAATCCAACACATTTTAAAAATTACTAAAAAATACACGTACGTTTATAATGTACAGGTTTAAACAAAAAGATTTTTTTTACCATAAGTTTAAGACACTCTGTAGAGTGGCAAAACCGTATATTGTTCTAAATTAAGTTTTAATTATCAAGTCACATCTATTTTTAACAGTTTTGTTTTTGGTTCACCTTGATATATTTATTTTTGTGGAAAATATGGATTTTTAAAAAAAAAACATTGCAATTTCCAATATTTTTCCTGTATGAAAAACTAAGGTTGCTATGGTCCATCCATAGCCTACGGAGGATGACAGTGACAGTTTTGTTGAATCATCCCATACTTGCACATGTCATATACAGCTTTCAAAAGCTATCAAATTGTTTTTTAAAAATTAATGTGTTAATTTTGAGGTGTCTTCTTACTTTTAAAAATGTCTCCGACTGATGTTGCTCTTTGTACTTTCCTTCTTGTGACGTTTAAAACACTTGCCACGTAATACTGTGACCGTCCATCCTGGATTAAATTAATTACTCTTGCAACATCTGTCGGGGAAATATCCATTTTTTAAAGTAAGAAGACACCTCAAAATTTAAACATTAATTTGCAAAAAACAATTTGATAGCTTTTGAAAGCCGTGTATGACATGTCCAAGTATGGGATGATTCAATAAAACTGTCACTGTCATTCTCCATAGCACATACATGGATGGACCATAGCAACCTTAGTTCTTAAGAACTTAATGAATTCATACAGAAAAATATTGGAAATTGCAATGTTTTTTTTTTAAATCCATATTTTCCACAAAAATAAATATATCGAGGTAAACCAAAAACAAAACTGTTAAGAATAGATGTGACTTAATAAATAAAACTTAATTTAGAACAATATACGGTTTTGCCACTCTACAGAGTGTCTTAAACTTATAGTAAAAAACATCTTTTTGTTTAAACCTGTATATTATAAAGGTACGTCTATTTTGTAGTAATTTTTTTAAATGTGAGCGATTGTCCATTAATTTATCTACAATATTCTTTAATATTCGTTTAAATCCGACATCAAATAAAAAAATTTTTTGCGATTGAAATTCATCGAAAATTTGTGTGAATCGATTATTTTGCCTGTGAGTGTATATTAGGGTGGGGCTTATTTTGGCGAAGTCCATTCCCGGCCTAAAAAGTAATCAACACATCTAAAAAAAGTGTTGTGTAAAATTTTAGCCAAATCGATTAACATTAACACGTGCCGCAGAGCACTTGAAATTTTTAATGGGAAAAACATGCATTTATTTTTCACAGCCATTTATTTATACTTTTCTCAAAAGTAAAATAATTAATAGAAAATTTTCAAACTCTGCACAATTTTTAAGTACATTAAGGAGCATCGAAAACTATTTTTTCCAAATTTTTAAAATCATACCTTCCCCGTTGAGAGTATTTTTTTCTTCAATATTTTAATACACAGCCCCACAAAAAAAAGAAAAATGGGAACTCCGACGCGTCGCGAAGTACCTGAATAGTTACATATAATGGATTTTGGGTTTCTGAATCCGAATCCGTGGTCGGAATTCAGCCATCATCCTCAAGTTTTTTTCTAACCTCAAAATCATCTATTTTTCCATTGTAAAATAGATTTAAAAAACGCGTGTTTTTTTTTCGATCTTGAGCATAAATTCGGATTCAGCGGCAAAAAATATATAGAAATGGTCTTCTTTGGTCCGCTGGGCCCAATACCTCTTCGAAAAAACTGGATGTTCCGGCAAACCAGAGTAGTCAATTCCCATGGATTTTGTAGCGCTAAATCAGAATTCGAGTTTAGAATTTTGTAATAAGATTTCGTTTTCTTATTAAACTCAAAAAAAGATGTTTTTAATTTTATGACGAGTCTAAATTTTTGTTCAGTGTTATATAAAAAAATAATAATAAGTATAATATTAATTATAATATTAATTATAAATGGTTTATTTATTGCCAACATTTGTTATACAAAAATGAAAACAAGTTATGTCCTGTCTTATGTTATTGACAATTTAAAGTAATGAAAGGCAGTACTTAGATACTGAAATTAATTTATTGCATTGATCGGAGCAGAGTGCTCTTGTTGACATCTGGGAATCTTTTTTTATATTCATCAAGAACTTGTATTATAAATTGTTTTTGTTCTTCGTTGGCACTTAGTCTTTGATTATATTCTGAAATTAATTTGATACCCCTCTCAGCTACGTCGTTAACCACTTTTATATTTTTTACTAACTTCAGGCTAAATTGAAAATTTTTATCAGATTTCCACTCAGAAGGATCTTTATTAAGAAATTCACAATCAATTTTAAATCTTTCGAAAAAAGTTATGGATTCTGGAGTGATGAAAAAATCGATTTCTTTATTTAAAAAAAAATCCATATCATTTATCAGAGAAACATCGTAGCGCTTCAAAATTGGTCTTTCTATTTCGTCGATAATTTCTTTGCTTTTAATGTTTAGAACCATTTTCCTTTGAATACCATCAGAAACATTTTCATCAAAAAATGCCATTGCAGCCGATTCTGGACTCAAATACCAAAGATGGTTAGACATTTTTTTTATCCCCACTTTGCTAACAGGCTGGTTAATTTTTCTAAAATTATGTAATGCTTTAAGAAAATTTAAATCATTTTGAGGAGCTAAATTAGCGAATGGAGCTGTAAACCATGCCTCCAAATAAACGACAAGTGTGAAAATACAAATTTCACGAATTACGTTTATTTCTGATGTTGTTAAATGGAAAATATCACGAAATAAAAAAAT